GAGATTTTAAGATTGTAAGACTTTAGGAATTTAATATTTTAAGAGTTTAAGATCTCAAGATTCTAAGACATAAGGTTTTTAAGGTTTCAAGATTCGAAGACTTTAGGATTTTTTTTTATATTTTCAGATTTTAAGATTCTAAGTTCTAAGATTTTAAGATCTTGACATTCTAAGATTGATGGTTAGATTTTAATTTAAGATTTTAAGAATCTAAGACTTTAGGATTTTGAGATTTCAATCCAGGCCATGTTCCATTTATTTTCCATCCACTTTAGATTTTAAGATTTTCAGGTTGCACGTTTCGGCAAAATTGGCCCGACTTGGGGGACAACATCCCCAGCATCACCCGCATCGCCGGCATCATCCGCATCAATGTCCGCCAAGGATGCGGATGATGCAGGTGATGCCGGGGATGTTATCCACTATGGGCATCCCCCAAAAAACACTCGTTTTTTGACTCCGCGGGGAGATGCTCAAAAAGCCGCCAAAAATCGCCTGAACAAATCCGCAAATCCTTCGCCCCTTAAAAGGGTGGGCCCAGCTTGGCGCAGCGCAAAAGTTCGGCGGTGGGTCGGCGGCATGGGGCGGACGGCCTTATACCTGAAGGTAGGCCCTGCGGGCCTGCGGACCACGGGGTCTGAAGCCCCCCGGTGGCCGGATTTAAGGCCCCTGGATTTAGTTGTGGTTTTCGAGCAACCAAAAACAGTGCCCTTGGTTTTGGTTTCTTTGGTTTCTTTTTGACCCAAATGGCATCTGAGGCGAGGTGCCGTTTCGACAGTGATGCGTAGTCATGATTATGATCATCGCTGCTGGAGATGCTGGGGATGCGTAGTGATGATTATCGCGAATGATGCGTAGTGATGATTATCATCAAGGCAGGACACAAATGGCATCTGAGGCGAGGTGCCGTTTCGATAATGATGCGTAGTCACGATCATCGCTAGGCACCCTTGGTAATGCAGAGGATGCTACGATGATAGTGATCATGATAGTCATCCGCAGCTTTGGTAATGCAAAAATGCTACGATGGTAGTTATCATAAGAGTCATCATCCTCATCATTTTCATGATGATTGTCATCATAGTCATCGCCTTCATCATCGTCATCATGATATTCTTCTATCATTTCAAATGTATATAGAAGAAAGATAGAAGAAACAGATGATGATGATGATGACACTCATGATGATGATGATGCAGGCGATGACTATGATGACAATCATCATGAAGATGATAAGGATGATGATAGAAGAAAATCATGATGACGATGATGAAGGCGACAACTAGGATGACAATCATCATGAAGATGATAAGGATGATGACCCTTATGATAACTATCATCGTAGCATGCTCTGCGTTACCAAAGCTGCGGATGACTGTCATGATAACTATCATCGTAGCATCCTCTGCATTACCAAGGATGCCTAATACCGCATTTCAATCGTGGCGTTAGGCATGACATCTCTTGGCTCCAGCTTGAGCAAATCCCTCAATGAAATCATATAAAACTCTGATGACAAACACACACGTTTAACCAGCCTGAGTAAACAAACAATAACAAAATAATAACTTCATGTTTCAAATGTGGCGTTAGGAACCTTTGGTAATGCAGAAGATGCTACGATGATAGTTATCATAAGAGTCATCATTCTTATCATCTTCATGATGATTGTCATCATAGTCATCGCCTTCATCATTGTCATCATGATCATCATCATCATCTCTTTCTTCTATCTTTCTTCTAGATACGTTTCAATTGTGGCGTTAGGCACCCTTGGTAATGCAGCGAATGCTACGATGATAGTTATCATGACAGTCATCCGCAGCTTTGGTAATGCAGAGGATGCTACGATGATAGTTATCATAAGAGTCATCATCCTTATCATCTTCATGATGATTGTCATCATAGTCATCGCCTTCATCATCGTCATCATCATTGTCATCATCAATTGTCACATCATCTCTTCTTCCATCTTTCTTCTATACTTCTATTTACATTTCAATTGTGGCGTTAGGCATCATTGGTAATGCAGAGGATGCTACGATGATAGTCATCATGACAGTCATCCACAGCTTTGGTAATGCAGAGGATGTTACGATGATAGTTATCATAAGAGTCATCATCCTTATCATCTTCATGATGATTGTCATCATAGTCATCGCCTTCATCATTGTCATCATGATTGTCATCATTATCATCATCTCTTTCTTCTATGTTTCTTCTATAGACAAAGATGAGGGCTGTGATGATATATATCATCGTAGCATCCTCGGCATCATCAGTGCCGGCTAACAAGAGATGATGATGACCATGACTGTGATGATAACTATCATCGTAGCATCCTCTGCATTGCCAATGGGGTCTAACGTTACTTTTGAAATGCATATTAAGAATAAGAATAAGAATGAGATGATGATGATCATCATGATGATGATGAGAAGAGCGATGACATCATAATAAGGATGATCATGATGATGATTATGATGATAACTGTCATCATAAGATAAGAATAAGAACAAGAATGAGATGATGATGATCATTATGATGATGATGAGAAGAGCGATGACATCATAATAAGGATGATAATGATGATGATTATGATGATAATTATCATCGTAACATTTGCATCACCAGTGCTGCCTAATAAGAGATGGTGATGACCGTGATGATACTGATGACAAGGATGAGGACTGTGATGATAACTATCATCGTAGCATCCTCGGCATCATCAGTGCCTGCCTTTTGAAATGCATAGAAGATGATGATCATCATGATGATGATGAGAAGAGCGATGACATCATAACAAGGATGATCATGATGATGATTATGATGACAACTATCATCATAACACCCTTTGCATCACCAGTGCTGCCTAATAAGAGATGATGATGACATCCTCGGCATCGCCAGTGCCGGCTAATAAGAGATGATGATGTTGAAGGATATAGAAGATGATGTTGACGATAAGAATGATGAAGGATCATATCGATGATGATGATGATGATGATGATGATGATGATGGGCATCCGTATGATGCCAGTAGTCATATGCTTGCCTCAAAGACTAATCCATGCGCTTGTACTGCAACCACCCTTCCCGTGCGCCTCCCCTTTGAGGAGAAGGGGTCGGCGGAGTTGATACATACAAATCGTGATAATACATATGGAACGAGGTGTGATCAACAGTATTTCGGAATAGAACAATGCATCATAAAAAGAGCACATTGCGGTTCTTGAAGCGTCACTCATGGTCGAATCCGTATTTCATGAAAACCTTGGAGCGCAGAAGTCGACTTTCGTGTTCGGCTAGGTACATCTTGAATTGCACCCCTGTGCGTTCAAATGGTGGTGTGGCCAACGTCTACGAGAAGGACGGCCAGATGGAGTTGCTCATGACAATAGACACATCCCAGAAGAGTTATTCGAGGTATTTTACAGTTTCGTTCCTCGTGTACAGACTTCTAGGGCTTGTGCTGTGGATGTTCATGTGTTTGACACGAAGGTGAGTTCTTTGGCGTGCGGATCCATTTGAAGATGCTCCCGATTCTGGGGAGCCGGCAGTTTGGCCCGAGTGCCCGAGTGCCCGAGTGCCCGAGTGCCCGAGTGCCCGAGTGCCCGAGTGCCGAGTGCCCGAGTGCCCGAGTGCCCGAGTGCCCGAGTGCCCGAGTGCCCGAGTGCCCGAGTGCAGGATCCAAAGTTCGAGTACTGTCGGGTGTCCATGGGGGACAATGCCACGGAGACCTTGCAGTCCCGCATGGAGGCCGAAGCGACCGGTTGTCGATCCAGCCGGCGGTGAAGTGACAGCTTTCGGCTTGTGCTTTGTGCGAAGACGCGCAAGATACTTCTTGCTTTGCCTTGTTGCGTGGGCATGCCTGCTAATATTTGACGCCAAAGCAAACTTAGTGCCTGAAGAGAAACCGAGGGATGCGCGTTCCCGAGTTGCGGCCCAGGCGAGTTGGGTCTTTCTAGAGAAAGCCCGCATCCGAGAGGACTGGCGCTTGCCAAACTGATGCAAAAGTGTCAGTTCAGGGGACTCAAAACAGGTTCTATCAAATAGGTTCCAGCTTGCACTAAAGGACCGATGAGAATCCAGTTGTTGGCACCCGTTTAGGGCCACCCAAGTCTCAACCAGCATTCACCCGTCATGTGTTGGATGGGCGACCAGTTAAGGGTTTTCGGGCTTGCCCGTGACTCTTGCAGGATGGATCGGTCCTTATCCACTGCCAGCAGGGTGTTTCCCGTAGTGTGCCGGAAGCTTGAGCCAGTGAGTCGCGCAGGGCTGGGTCAAGTTTGCGTTCCTAAGACCCTGGTCCCCATTCAAGCGACACCAAAAAGGCGGTTGTTTAAACAGTAGAGGTTCAAACCATGATCAGGCAAGGGCTTGGCTGGATCCTGATCGAAAGATTCTCGCAATTGAGTTCCTTGCAGAGGGTGAAATTGTTGCGCTGCGAGAAGCCAGTCTGGTGATGTGCCCGACCTGACAAAAGCCAGAGGTTTGTACCCGGATCTGACAAAAGGAACCTCCCATTCAAATGGGGATGTGATGCCAAAGTAGGGAGACCCCCCTTTGAGAAAAGAAATATAACAAATCACAAATGTGCTGCCTGCCACGGGCTGTTTGACCGGACATTCCGAGGTCCATGGCAATGTCGTACATGATGAAGTACTACAGGACCTGGCTGCAAGAATTTGACTCGCTTGGCAACGTGCAGGTTGCCTTGCATTTTCAGTTGCGTTGGGTGTGTACTGTAGCTGGCCGTTGGCCCCCGCTGCGTGGCCTCATATCAGAGTCAGTTGCCAGGCCGCTGTCGCTTCCTCAAAGCAATCCTAGGAGCATAAACCAAGCACGCAAACAAGCTTGGCAATGGGTCATGACAGCTTTTGCCGTTTCAATCGTTTTTCTGAAGCCAGTGCACGCCTGCGTCAAAAGAGTCTTAGCCTGCTTGCGCTTCCTGTATGCCGGCCAGGAAGCTTACTCAAATCCACTTTGGCTTTTTGAGAGTGTCTTCCAAAGTGCATGGGTTGGACATTCAGCAAGTCCTTGGGCTTGGCTTGAGCCATGGCCAAGTGTGCGGGCGGCCGAGTGCGGAATTGTGACTACGTGTAAACAAATGTTTTCATATCCTCCAACCATCTTCTCAAAACTATCTTCCGATGAGAGTATTTGATGGCCGCCTGCCACGAATGGGGGCGTTTGAGGTGAGGAACGTGTGCTTCCTGCTTCGAGGTCGAGAAGCAGGTCCCAGAGCCGAGTTTGAACCGGAGGAAGTCGGCTGAGTCGGTTTCTGCCAGACCTTTGTGGGACCCTTTCTGAAAAACATATCCTGCGTCCTTTTCTTGTTTTCCCTCAGCAGGGAATGACCCACATAAACCACCCACCTTTCTGGAGATTCGGAGCCAAACCCACCGCTCCTGGGGTCCGAGCGCCAGGAAGGGAGCCCCTGTGCGCGAGCCGCCCATCCAACGATGAGGCGAAGTGGCCTCTGAAGTGCATAGGTGTCCTTTTTAGGTGAGCCTGGTTAAAAATGGATGGGTTCCACTGGTTTAGATGGGTTTTGTTCCATTTACCAGGGCCATCTATTTTTCCAGAAGGCCACCTATGCCGATGGCCCTTGTCGAGCTTCCAAGCAAAGAACCTTTTGACGATTGAAACGCATGTTCGTATTGGCCTGTGGCCAGGACATCTAAGAACCATCGGACTTTACACGCAGGCCCAGAAGCACACGGGCATGCATGTACATCTATATCGTGAAGATACCCCTGATTCTCAAATATGGACTTGTGGATGACGGAGAAAGTGTTTGCACGGATGCACGAACTTAGTCCTACACGAACTTAGTCCTGGACATAAATATGCAGGTATGCATGGGAACATATGCACACTTGCAAACATTCCAGGAGTCCTGGCATGCATGCCTGGATGTGAAATGCACATATGCAGACTGCTTCAGATGCACGTATGCAAGGGCTTGCATGGCCCTCAAATTGCCTGTGGCTGGGGAGATTTTTTACAAGTCTGGTAAAAGGGGAAGTCGCCTCCTTTTCCGTATCCCGATTTTTGCGGACGGGACTGCCAACCTTCCAGTCGGAGCGCGCGGCGCGGCGGGCGCTGCAGCAGGCGAGTTTTTGCACTGGACAGGGCATGTGACTTTCCAGCCAGGACCTCCCCCCAAGATCTTTGCAAATTGAGACCGGCATCTGAGCAGTGTCTTTTTTGTAGCGCCCGGAGCCGCGTAGGCCGGAATAGTGTGCCAGCGCAGTTCGCGTAGGCCGCGAAGGCTTCTTTGCGTAGGAACTGCCTCCGTGTAGGCTGAAGCCCTGTAGAAATGCATCTCGCGCAGGCTTGCGTAGGCTTCCGCGGAGTTCCCCTTTGTATGTACAGAAAACAAAAACACAGACAAACTCTGCTCATCTCTTTTTGACCGAGATGTTCGGCCGACTGAATGAACAAATGCAACATGCTTCAATTTCTGTCAGTTTCACAGAAATGGAGGTGGATCGCGGACCGATCAGATATACAGCTCGCCCCTGTGGCTGACGATTGTCCGCTGGACCAGGAGCATGCAAGTCCGCCCTGGCACCATCCAGCATGCAGGGAAACCAGTGCCCTCTTATGGAAGTTCTCTTTTCTGCAACAGGCCAGTCTTTCAATGCTAGCTCTGACTCTGAAAGGGGTAGGCGCCGGTTGACCAAAACTTCTTCCCAGAACATCGCGAGGTGCGCAGCCTCCAGCGTCAATACGAGCAGCTCCTGTGGGGTCCTTGGGAACTTGCCTGGCGCCGTGGCTTCTATGAGACCCTTTGCATAGGTTGCAGGCAACCACCAACCACTTGTGATGCCCAAAAGCAACTTCGTACTCATGTGCTTAGCTCATTACAAATTGTTGCTTCTTGTCGCTTCTTCCAAACTGCTTTGACTTGAAAGCTATTTTGTCCCCTCTCCGGACATCAACGTACATTTTCAGGTTCACCAAGCATCCATAGTCTCAGAATGTTATTTTTTTGGGGTGCAACAGCTGGGGCAAGTTGGTTTCGTTTGGACAGTCCTGGCAACATGCCTCTTGTCCCAACAAGATGCAGATTCAGCGGTCCCCCCCAAGAAGCAGAAGTATGCATACAAAATGTTCAAAAGAATCCGGGCAAGGCACGTGTGCAGCTCCTAAAGTCCACCGAGGACCAGAATCCGGTCTAGCCAAAGCTAAAGGGTTATGTGACTACTTTCCTTTTGGGGCCAATGTTTTCATGGTTGTTGGCGTAAAGAAACAACATCCATAACTTCCCCCCCCTCCTCCCGCTATTTGTTGGGGATCAATTTTTTCAGGATCTACATCGAACCCTTTGTTTTTGGAACCCATTTTTTGGAACCAATTAATCTTATTTTCCTCCCGGGGTTCTGTTTTTGCAGGCCGCTTGCTCGCAGAAAAGCGCGAAACAGTGCCGGTCCTGCGAGGCCGGTGCTACACACAGCTCTGGCCTCCGCCTGCGTGTCCGAGGCGCGGGTGTTTGCTTGCTAGAAGAGGGAACTGCTGGAAGGGATATGTCTATTATATATATATATTATGGGTGTGGCTCAAAATTAAAGAGCTAGGGCTACGCAGCTTCTAGTCTTTGGTTCCATTTACCAAGGTGTCATTTTGGTACATCTATTTGAGCCACAACCATATATATATATATATATATATATGTATGTCTATTGGATATGTATGTATATATGCATACCCATATATATATATACATACATGTGGGTGTGCTCTTTTGTTGTTGTTGTTGTCGTTGTCGTTGTCGTTGTCGTTGTCGTTGTTGTTGTTGTTGTTGTTGTGGTTGTTGTTGTTGTTGTTGTTGTTGTTGTTGTTGTTGTTGTTGTTGTTGTTGTTGTTGTTGTTGTTGTTGTTGTTGTTGTGGTTGTGGTTGTTTGTTGTTGTTGGTTGTTGTTGTTGTTGTTGTTGTTGTTGTTGTGTTGTTGTTGTTGTTGTTGTTGTTGTTGTTGTTGTTGTTGTTGTTGTTGTTGTTGTTGTTGTTGTTGTTGTTGTTGTTGTTGTTGTTGTTGTTGTTGTTGTTGTTGTTGTTGTTGTTGTTGTTGTTGTTGTTGTTGTTGTTGTTGTTGTTGTTGTTGTTGTTGTTGTTGTTGTTGTTGGTAACGGGTGCGTAACGACCCGTACGTTTTCGTGTGTTTTTCACAAACAAAGTTTTCTCAACATGACTACATCGCGACCATCGACTACAAGGACTACTACGCAAGAACTCAGAAGCAGAGCGTCAGTGGAGGAGCTCATTTTTGCAAGGACTACATCGAGACCGTTGACTACACGGACTACTATGCAAGAACTCAGAAGCAGAGCATCAGTGGAGAAGCTCAGAAGCTCACCAGCAAAGCATAGAGCAATCCTCAGAAGCAAAGCAATATGCATAAATGGATGGGTATTTACAAAAATCATATATAAATATACACGGTATAGTCGCTTGAGATGTACACACGCCTGCCAATTGGTAAGCACACCCGTTCAAGTGCACCCGCTCAGCACTGTATCCATCCCTGCCAAATGGTAAGCACACCCGCTCAAGTGCGCCCGCTCAGCACTGTATCCATGCCTGCCAAATGGTAAGCACGCCCGCTCAAGTGCGCCCGCTCAGCACTGTATCCATGCCTGCCAAATGGTAAGCACACCCGTTGAAGCGCACACGCTCAGCACTGTCTCCATGCCTGCCAAATGGTAAGCACACCCGCTCAAGTGCACCCGCTCAGCACTGTGACCATGCCTGCCAAATGGTAAGCACACCCGCTCAAGTGCACCCGCTCAGCCCTGTATCCATGCTTGCCATATGGTAAGCACACCCGTTCAAGCGCACCCGCTCAACACTGTATCCATGCCTGCCAACACCCGCTCAAGTGCACGCGCTCAGCACTGTATCCATGCGGCACTTGGACAAGCTTGCGCAGACATTAGGATGTGACACGAGAAGCAATGCGTGTTTAAAGAAAAGAGGCACGGCTGTTTTTTCCAGCGAAGTGCACGAAAACGCGCGGGTCGTTACGCGCCCGTTACCTTGTTGTTGTTGTTGTTGTTGTTGTTGTTGTTGTTCCCTCCGTCCTGCTGTTGGCGCGCGCGCCGAACGCAGGAAATCCCCCTGTAATGAGCGCGCAACGTGCTCCAAATGCTGGTTTTCCTCAGGGATTCAACGGGTCAGGTTTTGGTGACGTCAAGAGGCACGCATTGTGCCCGAAAGACCGCCTTTCCGCAGGGGTTCGTCATGTTTTCCTTCATGTGATAAGCACACCCGCTCAAGTGCATCATGTCATAACTGCACACATGCAAGCACACCCGCTCAAGTGCATCATGTCATAAATGCACACATGCAGGCACATGGTAAGCACACCCGCTCAAGTGCATCATGTCATAACTGCACACATGCAGGCACATGGTAAGCACACCCGCTCAAGTGCATCATGTCATAACTGCACACATGCCGGCTGGTAAGCACACCCGCTCAAGTGCATCATGTCATAAATGCACACATGCCGGCACATGGTAAGCACACCCGCTCAAGTGCATCATGTCATAACTGCACACATGCTGGCACATGGTAAGCACACCCGCTCAGAGTGCATCAATCATAACTGCACACATGCTGGCACATGGTAAGCACACCCGCCATCAAGTGCAATCATGTCATAATTGAACACATGCAGGCACATGGTAACACCACCCTCTCAAGTGCAATCAGTCATAACTGGCAGGCACATAAGCACACCCGCTCAAGTGCATCATGTCATAACTGCACTCATGCAGGCACATGGTAAGCACACCCGCTCAAGTGCATCATGTCATAACTGCACACATGCCGGCACATGGTAAGCACACCCGCTCAAGTGCATCATGTCATAAGCCATGCATCACATGCCGGCACATGGTAAGCACACCCGCTCAAGTGCATCATGTCATAACTGCACACATGCCGGCACATGGTAAGCACACCCGCTCAGGTGCATCATGTCATAACTGCACACATGCTGGCACATGGTAAGCACACCCGCTCAAGTGCATCATGTCATAACTGCACACATGCCGGCACATGGTAAGCACACCCGCTCAGGTGCATCATGTCATGACTGCACACATGCCGGCACATGGTAAGCACACCCGCTCAGGTGCATCATGTCATAACTGCACACATGCCGGCACATGGTAAGCACACCCGCTCAAGTGCATCATGCTCGCAATTGTCTAACTGGCACATGCCGGCACATGGTAAGGACGTCCAGGAGGCGTGACGCTGCATCCCTGAGGAAAAACAGTGATTTCAGCACGTTGCGCGCTCATTCCAGTGGGATTCCAGACTTTTGGCGCGCGCGCTAACAGCATGACGGTGCAGCTTCTAGTCTTTGGTTCCATTTACCAAGGTGTCATTTTGGTACATCTATTTGAGCCACAACCATATATATATATATATGTATGTCTATTGGATATGTATGTATATATGCATACCCATATATATATACATACATGTGGGTGTGCTCTTTTGTTGTTGTTGTTGTTGTCGTTGTCGTTGTCGTTGTCGTTGTTGTTGTTGTTGTGGTTGTTGTTGTTGTTGTTGTTGTTGTTGTTGTTGTTGTTGTTGTTGTTGTGGTTGTGGTTGTGGTTGTGGTTGTGGTTGTGGTTGTGGTTGTGGTTGTGGTTGTGGTTGTGGTTGTGGTTGTGGTGGTTGTTGTTGTTGTTGTTGTTGTTGTTGTTGTTGTTGTTGTTGTTGTTGTTGTTGTTGTTGTTGTTGTTGTTGTTGTGGTGGTGGTTGTTGTTGTTGTTGTTGTTGTTGTTGTTGTTGTTGTTGTTGTTGTTGTTGTTGTTGTTGTTGTTGTTGTTGTTGTTGTTGTTGGTAACGGGTGCGTAACGACCCGTACGTTTTCGTGTGTTTTTCACAAACAAAGTTTTCTCAACATGACTACATCGCGACCATCGACTACAAGGACTACTACGCAAGAACTCAGAAGCAGAGCGTCAGTGGAGGAGCTCATTTTTGCAAGGACTACATCGAGACCGTTGACTACACGGACTACTATGCAAGAACTCAGAAGCAGAGCATCAGTGGAGAAGCTCAGAAGCTCACCAGCAAAGCATAGAGCAATCCTCAGAAGCAAAGCAATATGCATAAATGGATGGGTATTTACAAAAATCATATATAAATATACACGGTATAGTCGCTTGAGATGTACACACGCCTGCCAATTGGTAAGCACACCCGTTCAAGTGCACCCGCTCAGCACTGTATCCATCCCTGCCAAATGGTAAGCACACCCGCTCAAGTGCGCCCGCTCAGCACTGTATCCATGCCTGCCAAATGGTAAGCACGCCCGCTCAAGTGCGCCCGCTCAGCACTGTATCCATGCCTGCCAAATGGTAAGCACACCCGTTGAAGCGCACACGCTCAGCACTGTCTCCATGCCTGCCAAATGGTAAGCACACCCGCTCAAGTGCACCCGCTCAGCACTGTGACCATGCCTGCCAAATGGTAAGCACACCCGCTCAAGTGCACCCGCTCAGCCCTGTATCCATGCTTGCCATATGGTAAGCACACCCGTTCAAGCGCACCCGCTCAACACTGTATCCATGCCTGCCAACACCCGCTCAAGTGCACGCGCTCAGCACTGTATCCATGCGGCACTTGGACAAGCTTGCGCAGACATTAGGATGTGACACGAGAAGCAATGCGTGTTTAAAGAAAAGAGGCACGGCTGTTTTTTCCAGCGAAGTGCACGAAAACGCGCGGGTCGTTACGCGCCCGTTACCTTGTTGTTGTTGTTGTTGTTGTTGTTGTTGTTGTTGTTGTTCCCTCCGTCCTGCTGTTGGCGCGCGCGCCGAACGCAGGAAATCCCCCTGTAATGAGCGCGCAACGTGCTCCAAATGCTGGTTTTCCTCAGGGATTCAACGGGTCAGGTTTTGGTGACGTCAAGAGGCACGCATTGTGCCCGAAAGACCGCCTTTCCGCAGGGGTTCGTCATGTTTTCCTTCATGTGATAAGCACACCCGCTCAAGTGCATCATGTCATAACTGCACACATGCAGGCACATGGTAAGCACACCCGCTCAAGTGCATCATGTCATAACTGCACTCATGCAGGCGCATGGTAAGCACACCCGCTCAAGTGCATCATGTCATAACTGCACACATGCCGGCACATGGTAAGCACACCCGCTCAAGTGCATCATGTCATAAATGCACACATGCCGGCACATGGTAAGCACACCCGCTCAAGTGCATCATGTCATAAATGCACACATGCCGGCACACGGTAAGCACACCCGCTCAAGTGCATCATGTCATAACTGCACACATGCTGGCACATGGTAAGCACACCCGCTCAGGTGCATCATGTCATAACTGCACTCATGCAGGCGCATGGTAAGCACACCCGCTCAAGTGCATCATGTCATAAATGCACACATGCAGCATGGGTAAAAGCAACACCCGCTCGAGTGCATCATTCAATAACTGCACACATA